GCAAACTGTCACAGCTGGGGGCCCACACTGAAGATGCCAGCGCCTGGAATACAGGATGGCCGGTGAAACGGGCTGCGGCGGGGGCAACGCGGGATCGTGGGACAGGTGATGTTTTTGTAGCTGCTGACTTTTATTTTTTACAGAGTGAGTGGAACTCCACTTTAACCCCGTGGCGCCGGCGCCTCTTGGCCCTTTAAGGATTTCAGAAGCCGGGAGGCGGGGCGGGGGGTTAGGGTCATGTGACCGCCGTGACGGCATGTCACGGCGGTCACATGATCGGGAAAGGTCCTGATTGAAAGAGGAGATCGAGACCTTTCCATGAGTACCGGACATGTGTGCTGGGAGCGCGCAGGGCTGGCGCTCTCAGAACATATTTTTTTTTTTAATAGAACGCAAATGTGCGGCCACTCAGCGTCTAGGCCCAGATGCCGGGAGGCCACATTTTGCGTTCGTCCGGCGCCAAGAGGTTAAGCTTTGACAAAATCCTGGAAGCTGATTGGTTTCTATGCAGAGCTTCATCAGATTTTGCACTCTCCAGTTTTGATAAATAACCCCCCAACAATCTTTCAAAATCAATGACCATAAGTCCAAATTCAATATCTTCAACAGCGCAAGATAGGCTTCTTAGTAGCCAGCTGCTGATACACACCTTCGTGGAAAATGGGCAGCACAGTGGCTAAATGGTTTGCATGTCCGCCTGGCAGTTCTAGGGTTGTTGGTTCAAATCCCAGCCACGGCACCACCTGCCTGGAGTTTGCATGTTCTCCCTGTGCCTGTGTGGGTTTCCTTCATGTACTCCGGTTTCCTCCCACACTCCAAAGACATGCTGATAGGTGAATTGGATCCTGTCTAAATTGGCCCTATTATGTGTATGTAAGTTAGGGACCTTAGATTGTACACCCCTTGAGGGTTAGGGACTGATGTGAATGTACAATATATATATGTAAAGTGCTGTGTAAAGTGACGGCGCTATATAAGTACCTGAAATAAATAATAATTAAATAAAATGGGACGATCGTTCTTCTATAGTGTGTACTAGGCTTAACCCGACCAAAGCAGAGCACAGGCAGCCTGGAGACAGTGGAGGAAGATTATATCCAAAGAAAGACTGGATGCAAAGTACCATCTCCTACTAAAGGTGCACCATATTGGTACATCAGGTGAGGAGCATGCATGTACTCATTGTATCCTCTGATGATATGGCTTCTCTCAGAAGCTCCCTTTTTTTTTTTTTGGCTTTTAGACTGCAGCAGAAAGATATTGGAAGAAGTCCCCTCTCCTCCTGTTTTGAAGATAATGATGAAATTCTGGAGTAACAACCAAAGTAAAAGAAAGGGTTACTCTACGCAGAGTACAGGGTTAGCATTAAAAGCCCAACAGAGGCAATGGCATATCCTCAGAGTGTGCAATTTGTTCTGGGCACATGGGCCCTGGGAGGGATGAGACCCATAGTTCTCTTGCACACTTTGAAGATTAAGGATTCAAGTCAGTAGGACTTTCCTATGGTGTCCACTTCAAACTCCCCCCCCCCCCCCCCCATTCTGTCTCCACTGAGCTGTTATTGTCCTCTTCATTGGTTACTAGTACCACCAATGATGTGCTTGTCTTAGCATTCACAGGAGGATGGAACGTCCTCCAACCAAACCTGCTCCGCATTCCAGCTCCCTATCTGCTGCCACAGCCATGCCATAAGGTAAGGGCAGACTCTAATGGAGACTCTGATGTAAGGGTGGACTTGATGAGGACCCCCTGATGTAAGGGGAACTCTAATGGAGACAGTAATGTAAGGGGTAACTCTGTTGGGGAACCTGATGTAAGGACAAATTGTGATGGGGACTGGGATGTAAGGGGGGCTCTGATGGAGAAGCTAATGAAAGGTGTAACTCTGTTGGGGAACCTGATGTAAGGACAGATTGTGATGGGGACAGGGATGTAAGGGGAGCTCTGATGGAGAAGCTAATGAAAGGTGTAACTCTGTTGGGGAACCTGATGTAAGGACAGATTGTGATGGGGACAGGGATGTAAGGGGGGCACTGATGGAGACGCTAATGTAAGGTGTAACTCTGTTGGGGAACCTGATGTAAGGACAGATTGTGATGGGGACAGGGATGTAAGGGGGGCTCTGATGGAGACGCTAATGTAAGGGGTAACTCTGTTGGGGAACCTGATGTAAGGGCAGATTGTGATGGGGACTGGGATGTAAGGTGGGCTCTAAAGGAGATGCTAATGTAAGGGGTAACTCTGTTGGGGAACCTGATGTAAGGATAGATTGTGATGGGGACTGGGATGTAAGGGGAACTCTAATTGAGATGCTAATGTAAGGTGTAACTCTGTGGGGGAACCTGATGTAAGGACAGATTGTGATGGGGACTGGGATGTAAGGGGGGCTCTGATGGAGACACTAATGTAAAGTGTAACTCTGTTGGGGAACCTGATGTAAGGACAGATTGTGATGGGGACTGGGATGTAAGGGGGGCTCTGATGGAGATGCTAATGTATGGTGTAACTCTGTTGGAGAACCTGATGTAAGGACAGATTGTGATGGGAACTGGGATGTAAGGGGGGCTCTGATGGAGACGCTAATGTAAGGTGTAACTCTGTTGGGGAACCTGATGTAAGGACAGATTGTGATGGGGACTGGGATTTAAGGGGGGCTCTAATCGAGACGCTAATGTGTGGTGTAACTCTGTTGGGGAACCTGATGTAAGGACAGATTGTGATGGGGACTGGGATGTAAGGGGAACTCTAATGGAGACGTTAATGTAAGGTGTAACTCTGTTGGGGAACCTGATGTAAGGACAGATTGTGATGGGGACTGGGATGTAAGGGGGGCTCTAATGGAGACTCTAATGTAAGGTGTAACTCTGTGGGGGAACCTGATGTAAGGACAGATTGTGATAGGGACTGGGATGTAAGGGGGGCTCTGATGGAGATGCTAATGTAAGGGGAATTCTAATGGAGACTCTGATATAAAGGAAAACTCTGATGGGGACCCTGATGTAAGGGCCAATTTTAATGGGGAGTGTGATGTGTAACCTGACTTTAAAGCGGTAGTAAACCACCAAAAAAAAGAAAAAAATTCCCCTGTAAATTAATGTCACAATGTGCTAGTATGCATCACCGTAGCACACTATGCAGGCCACTTTAGCACTTGAAATAGTTTTTTTATTTGTGGCTGTTAAGAAAACTGTACACGTAAAGGTGGCTGAACTGTGGCACGGCTCTCCCTGAGAGCTGAAGTTTTATCTTCCTACTGTAAACTACTAATCCAGCCTCGGTGACAACCATGGATCCCTCCATAGATACAACAGTGGAGCCACCTAATGACAGCAAGTGTGCTAAATACAGAATCACCTGAAGTAAATAAAGAAAATAAAGTGTGGAAAAAAAACAAAAGCAACCATCTAATTTCAGGATTCCTAAACTGCAATATAGTAAATGTTTGCTTTGGTGTTTAGATACTCTTTCAAAGAATTTGGTAGATACTGAAAAGTGTTGAGCAAGTCATAGATATCATGCCATAAGGTTCAGGAAGACAATATTTTCTAGTAAGTAGCTGAGATCGAAAACATGGGACAATTCAAAACTAACCTAAGAATATCTAACTAACTTCATAACGCTGCCCCAAACTACCTCACCGACCTGATACCCAAATACCACCCAACCCGTACTCTTCACAAGACCTCCTACTTTCTAGCTCCCTGGTCTCCTCCTCCCACGCCCGACTGCAGGATTTCTCCAGGACTTCCCCCATCCTCTGGAACTCTCTACCCCAATCCATCAGACTGTCACCTACCCTCCTCATCTTCAGGCGCACCCTGAAAACCCATCTCTTCAGGGAAGCCTACCCCACCCTCACCGAACAGCCAATCTCCTCCACTCCTCCTACCACTCCATCCCCCACAGCCACTTCCTCCTGTACCTCTATCCCCTCCCTCCTAGATTGTAAGCTCGAAAGAGCAGGGCCCTCGAACCCCTCGTGTATTGTTTTGTTACTGTATTGTCTCATGTACTGTCCCCCACTATATTGTACAGCGCTGAGCAAACCTTTTGGCCCTATATAAATACTGTATAATAATAATAATAATAATAATCTAAACAAACATTTTCCTGAAAGAATAGTTGGTGCTTGGAACAGAGTTCCAGCAGATTTAACAAGTCAAAAAATAGTACATGAATTTAAACATGCTTGGAATAAACATAGGTTTATGCTCAACAAAAAAGCTGAGAATAAAATTAAAAAGGGGAAATTTGATGAACTAATTTATCTTTGGTTGGCAGGAACACCTTAAACTCCCAGGTGCACGGGAATCGAGGTGGAAATTACGGCAGAGACATCTCATTGGTAAAGTTTCGAAGACATATAAGAAGACCAGGGCTGATGCAGCCCACCAAGCCCTACCGGTAATCGAAATATCACATTTAGGCCCTTTAAAGAATAACAGTACAGATACATTTGACACGTTCATTTCTTCCTTTCCTCAGAATGTTATGGAAGAAGTCAACCAAACATCTCTAGGAAGCTTCATCCTCCTTGGTCTATCTAATGTCCCATTTCTCCAGAAAATCTATGTCCTTGTATTCTCTGTAATGTACATAATCACACTATCAGGAAACCTTCTACTGATCAACGTGGTGAGGATAAACCCAAAGCTTCAGACCCCAATGTACTTTTTCCTAAGCAACCTCTCCATTATTGACATTGGTTTCTCATCCTCTATTGTTCCTCTAATTGTCACAAACACTCTGGCCAAGGACAGAAGCATCTCCTTGCTGCGATGTGCAGTGCAAATGTTCTTTCATTTGGGCTTAGGAGCAACAGAGTGTATAATTCTAGCTGTCATGGCGTACGACAGATTTGCTGCCATCTGTAGACCATTGCACTACAGCACCATAATGAATAAGACGTTGTGTGTTTGTTTAGCTGTAGGGTCATGGAGTATTTGCTTTCTGAATTCTGCCATTCATGTTGTCCTCACTTTTCAACTGCCCTACTGCAAGTCCCACCATGTCAATCACTTCTTCTGTGAGGTTCCACCTTTTCTTCGAATGTCCTGCCGAGATACTTCACTTAATGAGATAGGCATGTACATCTCCGCAGGAATCCTTGGATTGTTTGCCTTCTGCTTGACTCTTATCTCATATGTCCACATCATTTCCACCATCCTGAAGATCCGTTCCTCACAAGGAAGACGTAAAGTTTTCTCCACATGTGGTTCCCACCTGACTGTTGTGGGTCTGTACTATGGGACCCTCCTTTTTATGTATCTGAGACCCCGCTCTATAAAAACTCCTGAATTAGACAAATCTCTGTCCATAGTATATACAGTAGTGACACCCATGCTGAACCCCCTGGTCTACAGTATAAGGAATGAGGATGTCAAAAACACTGTTAAAAGAACACACATAAGAATTTTAAAAAATATGTAAAACAAGATGTTGATTTCCATTTCATGACATCATTGCCTGAATGATGATCATTAAATATTTCTAGAGTCTATATTATGGTTGAAGGATAGGTTATAAATGCCCATTTTATTGCCGGTATAAAAAATGTGCATTTATTTTTTTTTCTAAGGACTCTGAAGAGCATCGCACCCATGATCGGCAGATTGCGGGTGCAATCTCAGGCTCCTGTAGGCGCTCAGAATTGCTGTTTGCCTGTACTAGGGGCGGACTGACCATTCGAACACTCGGGCACTGCCCGAGGGCCCGGGGTCAGTAGGGGGCTCCATGAGATGCCCCTGGTACCTTTCATTGGCTTTTTCATAGGCTTTTTTGGGTGTTGGTGAGGACATAGGGGCCCCATGAGTTGTCAGTCCGCCCCTGGCCTGTACCGCATATAGCTAGGCAGTGACTTGGGAGCAGGATGCTCAAAGGACTACAAGAGCACTCACCAGCAACCCCACAGTTCATTGAGAACTACAAGCCATCAGCCACAATGGCTAGCAGTGTTTGTAGACATGTAGTCTCAGTAGGATGCGATGGCTGTGAGCAATCACAGTGATCACGTGATATTTGTACACAATGAGTGACTCTCATTCATAGCCATTTATTGTGTGCTATTATGATGATCTCTGTGATTGGTTACAGTGATCACATGGTACAGACAGGGCCAATCACAGCCCATCTGTATCATGTGATAACTGGCTATGAATGGATGCCATTCATAAAAATGATTGCTGATAACAGTGATTATCACTGTTATAAGCAATTATGGTGTAAAAAAAATCCTGATCACCTCCCCAGAGTAGTACAGTGTCACTATGGTAACACTGGGCTACTCTGGTCACAGTATGTAAAAAAAATTTAAGAAAAATTTGTAAATTGTAGTTTTTTTTACATATTGTCACCAGTCAGTATTCCTGATCAGCACCACACCAGTCATATGACGGTACTGTACTGCAATGGTAACAGTATGTACAAAAAAACTGTAAAAAGAAAAAAAAGGAAAAACAATTGTAAACAATGAATAAAAATGTTAAAAAATTTGAAAAAAATATTTTTTTTTCATGCTGTCACCAGTCAGTATCCCTGATCATCACATCACCAGTCATATGATGCTGTACTGCACTAGTGACAGTATGTAAGAAAATTGTAAAAAAAAAAAAAGTGTTTAAAAAAATGTAAAAATGTTTGGTAAAAAAATTATTATTATTATTATTATTATTTATTTTTTTACATACTGTCCCGTCAGTATCCCTGATCACTGCCAAACCATGATGCTGTACTGCACTGGTAACAGTATGTAAAAACAAATGTTTAAAAAAACAACTTTAATTTAATTTCTTCATTTTCCCCAAAAAAGTGACAAAAAAATTACAACTTCAAAAAAAACTTTCTAAACACATTGTGCTATGTTTTTTTTAAGATTGTAGAAAATAAAAATTGATTGTTATCTTTTAACTGTTGACCTATCAGTTCATTATTCGATAAACTTGTGCCTTTAAAGTCCCACCAACAAGAGGACTTCTCTATTGTAAATTCTATTTCTCCAGTTTTTTTCTTGAAGTTTACTTTAAATATTTTGCTGGTGTTAAGCTTTATAGAACCATTAACAATTTAAAATAGATTTAGTGTTACGTTTAAATTTGCTTCCAATAATGTTTTATAGCCTCAAGGTGGGCAACTCCACATTAATGACCGTGGTTTTAGAATGGTATGTCCAACAAATTCCTTGAAGGTGTAACGTTTGATAATGATTATGAAACCAACATTACGATGATTAAAATACATGAAAAAACATAAGAGAATATAATGCTTAGCCTTTGAAAAAAAAACTTAGTAAGCAGGGAACACAGTTGATAATATTCATAAAAGACCGGAGACAGGTCAGCTGGGAAACTAAGAAAATAACATCGGAGGGACTTCAATGTGTTTGTAATGTAAGCGAGCACCTTTCTTGTTTCTTGTTACTTCCAAGTCTTTAACCTTCACCAGTGAGCTAAAAAAAATGGTGAATACTGAAAACATTGGGAGTGTCAAGGACATAAAAATGTAAAATAAGCAAAATAGTCAAAGTCTGTCATTAAAATCCATATTTAGGTTGAAAAAAGACACAAGTCCAACATAAATCCATATTTTTAGAGTTTAAAAATCTAGGTCCCAATTTTAGCTCAACTGTATCTAATATTTGGAGACCTGCTAACCGCCAAAGCTAATGGCCACTAGTCAGTGCTCCTACTCCTTGACCTCTCTGCAGCCTTCAAACATAGTCGACCACCCCCTCCTCCTCAAAAAACTACACTCCCTTGGCCTCAGAGATTCTGCTCTCTCCTGGCTCTCATCCTACCTGTCACAATGCTCCTTCAGCGTTACCTATAATGCTACCACCTCCCCCTCACTCCGCCTCTTTGTTGGGGTCCCTCAAGACTCTGTCCTCGGGCCCCTTCTCTTCTCCATCTACACCTCCTCCCTTGGCCAACTCATACACTCTCACGGCTTCAACTACCACCTCTATGCCGACGACACACAAATCTATCTCTCAACCCCCCACCTCACCCCCTCAGTCTCCGCCCGAATCACACAACTACTGAGCGACAAATCAGACTGGATGTCGCTCCACTTCCTTAAACTGAACCTCTCCAAAACCGAGTTTCTTGTCTTCCCCCCAGCCCGGACACCACCCCCATTGACTTCTCCATCACGTTCAACAACGCCACCATCAAACCTGCCCCGCAGGCCAGAGTACTTGGTGTCATTCTGGACTCCAATCTATCCTTCCAGCCCCAAGTCCAATCTTCTTAACAAACTCGTGCAGACTCCACCTCCGCAACATCGCCAAAATCCGCACGTTCCTAACCCCAGAAACCACTAAACAGCTCATCCACTCCCTCATCATATCACGACTCGACTACTGCAACTCCCTCCTCACTGGCCTGCCTCGCCGCTGGCTATCCCCGCTTCAGTCGATCCTGAATACGGCTGCAAGACTCATTCACCTTTCCAACCGCTCTGTTTCCGCCACCCCCCTCTGCCAATCCCTCCACTGGCTTCCGATTGCGCAACGGATCAAATTCAAAATCCTAACACTGACTTACAAAGCCGTCCACCATACTGCCCCAAACTACATCACTGACCTAATATCCATGTACCGCCCAGCACGCACACTCCGCTCCTCACAAAACCTCCTTCTCTCTAGTTCCCTGGTCTCCTCCTCCCATGCCCGCCTCCAGGACTTCTCCAGGGTGTCACCTATCCTCTGGAACTCCCTGCCCCAACCCATCAGATTATCACCTACTCTCTCCTCTCCTTTAGGCGCACCCTAAAAACCCATCTCTTCAGGGAATCCTACCCCACCCCCTGCTAATTCCCGACCTCCTCCACTCCTCCTACCACTCCACCCCCCACAGCTATCTCCTCCTGTGCCACCATCCCCTCCCTCCTAGATTGTAAGCTCGAAAGAGCAGGGCCCTCGATCCCCTCATGTTTTGCATTGTATTGTTATTGTTCTGTCACATGTTCTGTCCCCCTTTGTAATGTACAGCGCTGAGCGAACCATTGGCGCTTTATAAATACTGTATAATAATAATAATAATAATATTTGCCCTTTCTGAAAACCCCTAACAAGCATTGCAGGGAAATAACAATATCTACCAGCCAACCAAACACGCCTGTAGGCAGGTTGCCTACATTAGTTAATGAGTTCTGGCTGGCCCAGGCAGGGGGAAGAGGTTTGTAGTCCTTTTCCCCTGGCTTTCTGAACCCAGCCTACCTGCCCTGTGCTACTAATAATAGGGGGAAGGCCAGGTAACGAGGGCTTCCGTGAGTAACTCATCTGCGTACCTGCTGTTCATGCCTGGTTCTGGATTGTGGTACAGTCCCGGGTCAGGAATGTAGTGATGCCCCCTCGCGGAGGGGGGGTTGCTGGGCCCTGCAGTCCTCCCGAAGGTGCCAACCCATTTGGAGCACTGCCAAGGACTATCACCAAAAATGGACTTTCGCAGACAGTTCAGGTTAGGATGTTAAGTATTATGTTTTCACTGTATTCTGATGCACTTCAAGACTTTCAGTAAAGTTTGTTCAACTTTTCCTAGGCCTGGTGTGAAGTTACTAAAGGGGTGCATAATGGTAACATGACAGACATAATACACTACTTGGGTCAGTTAGCACATATGGGGTATATAATAGGTCAGTTGCAAGAGGTTAACTCAGCATCGGAGCGAAGGAAGAGAGTATTTGCTACTGGTAACCAAAAGACTGCTATGGAGTGAATAAAAAGTCTGGTGCCTGGGCAAGGTGAAGTGTCCTCCAGTAGTGAGGGGGCCACCGCTTTAAACTCTCTCGCTAGCAGACCATCTCCCATAGTAACTGGGAGCAGACCAGCATTATGGAGAACCTCAGCCTCACTGCCTGGTACAGAAAAAAAGGAGTTCATTATGTGCATGCATGAAGTTGGCACTAGGTGCATGGCAAGACTTCTTTCTTCCACTGGGAGTGATGTGGCATAGGTACGCTGGACAGATGAAGGGGCACAGTGTCAGCAGTGTCCCTCCTAAATGCAACAGTTACAAAGGGGTGTTTTGTGACAGAAGATGCAACACTTCAAGGAGCATTTAAACACTACACAAGTCAGAAGCCTGCCTTAAGGTTGATTTCACCTGAACGCGGCCACAGCCTTGCCCCGGGGTATTGATGGGCACATGCATGGAAGGGTACCCTAAGTCCAAACAAATGAACAAACAGGTCGCTGAATCTGGATTTTTTTAAGGATCACTGAAATTGTCTCTGGATACACTGGCTTTGGTTTGGCAGTGCTAAAAAAATGGGGACCACCCTCCCAAAAAAGACATTGATGGGCACATGCATGAAATGGTACCCTATGTGCAGGGCAAGTGACCCTGCCCACACTGCCTGGCGTAGTTTAAGAACCCAGTGGGCTTACAGCCAGTGAAACCAGAACAAGCCCACCAGCCCACAATCCTATCTCC